TCCAGCGTTTCTCTCTAGTTTGGGGTGTGCTTCTTTTTGCGCACCCGCTATTCGCTCTTCCTTCCGAGACCTGCTGGGAGCTCGGAGCTCAGAGCACAGCGCACGGCGGCCTGGGCCGGCGGGGGTGTCTTTGGAAAGGCGCCGCTCCCCGGGATGTAGTCCCCAGGGCCAAAGTCGATGCGTTGGGAAAACTGCACACTGGAAGGGTCAGGCAACCTGGCTTTCTGTCTGAATAAACTCTACGCATTAAACAGTTTTGTTTTATTTTAAAATTAACTGACAAGAAAAACATCTCCCTAACGATTCCTTCCCTTGGTTGGAAAACCAACCTAAAAACAACAACAAAAAACAATTTGTGACCCAGCAAAGGAGCAATGACCTTCCTCCCTCCCCTTCTTTGTTTTAGGCAATGCTAAAAAGAGATTGGGAATCTGGGGCGTAAAATGCCGGGTCCTTTCTCGAGCCCTTCGAACCCTCACGTTGGGGACCGGGTCAGGGTCTGTCCTGCCGCTCACCTATGTCCCAGCGGCGCCGGCGCCAGCGCACCCTCTCACCGCTGCGATGGAGCTTCGGGAACGGAGGCCCCTGGGGGTGAGCTGTTGAACAGGGAAGTTCACACAGATACCCGTGTGCTTGCAAATATAAAGAAACACACGGCAGGAATCATGGGTCCCGCAGAGCTGGGTCTCCTCGGGGCTCAGGCTCGGAGGGCCGTCACTGCCTGGACTCTAAGTAGCCAAAATATTTGCCTGCTAACCCAGCTTCATTAAAAATCAGCTCACTAAAAATTTGAATTAAATAAAAATAAAACACTTTGGTTTTAAGAGCAAACCCGAGGAACATTTAAAACCAGTTGAACTCAAAGGAACTCCAATGTCTGCAACGTTTCTGTAACTGCTTACAAAGGGAACTTCTACAAAATTCAGTCTATTTAAAAATGTGGTCGGGACTCACGTAAAAACCAAAAGAAAGACACTGGAGGTCCAGGCCCGAGTTAAGTGCTGTCGCTTCTGGTAGTCGCCTTCGCTCCAACTCCGGTTAAACTTTAAAGCCCCCGGGTCCTGCCCCTGTCACCAGCCTCGTTCCAGAGTTTTCTACCTTCAGTCTTTCCCAAATGCGAAATACGCTCACAATTGAAACTGGGAGCCGTGAGTGGGGGAGGCAGAGAGGACTGTAATAAAAGTGACTGAATTGGATGAGAACGGTTTATGCACCTTCTCGGTAGCAATTTAAAATTCACAAGTGTTTAGCAGCCATTTACAACGAAGAATGAAAGGGGGGAAAATGATCACCAACTTCCTGAATTCTGATGCCTCCGCCCTGGCGCTGGCAGGCCCTGTCCCCGTCTCCCACCAGGACACACAGGTTCACAGCTCACAGTTACCGCGAGTGGAATCATACACTTAGCGGCGAAGTCTCACAATCCTTACAATGTCCCTACCGACCCTAGTTTAACTAGTTTAGGTTCCTCTCCCTCCCCCAACTGAAATACATAAAAACAAACAAAAACAGAGCCCAAACGCTTCCAGAGGAGACTGACCTTTAGAAAATCATTTACTTCGATTTACCTGGGGGAAAAAGTGTAAAAATCCATTCCCACACAACTCCTCCTGCCCTGGTTAAAATTCTCACGAGCCTTCTGGGGTCACGTCTGTCGGAAGAAATTCTCCTTGTGAGCGAAAGGGAGCGAGGCTCGATATCAGAGCTCCTGCCGCGGCCGAACCCGCGGCCGCGCGACTCGCTGATGACAGATCGGCGCTGATAACCCCGCGACGTTTATTTCCAGCCCCTTTGCCGGCGACGGACCGTATCAGTTTGTACACAGTTGTGATAACCCATTCGGAGGGAGCGAAGAAGGGGTGTGTATGTGGGGGTGGCTGGGAAGCGAGATGTCGCGCTGGTTCCAGAGGTGACCCCCCCCTCTTTCCAACGACATTTCTGAAACTTACCCGAAATTCTCCAGGGAAATCTGAGAGCAAACGGGACACCCAAACTCGGAAAGCATTTGCGTGCGCTACTGGCATGGAAGCCTTTTCCCACCCTGTGCTCCTCCTTTACTAACACCAAGACCCCGAATTAAAAGTCCCAAAGGCTAGCTGAGAAGTGCCGACGTGAACGTCCCGAAACTTCCTAAGAATTTAATAAATTTCTAAAAATCAGGGCGCAGACGGGGAGCTGGGCACTCGTGTTCCTTCTTTCCCACATCAAGGAAGCCTCAACCCTGAGGGCCACCACGACCCTGTGAACTCCAGGGTCCAGAAAAGAGGTCGGTCGGGGAAAGTTTAAGGTCGATCACACGCGAATGTAGAGCAAGTAGCTCATCTGACGTGGAGGGAGGATCGGGGAAGGCCAGCGGAGCAAAACCTTCCCCTCCCCCCGCCCCCTCATTCTGGGGGCGCGTTGACCCGGGAACTGGCGCCTCCCTCCCACAGCGGTGGCAGCGTGGAGCTGTGCACGGCCAGTCCCTCCCGTGCCAATACCCCCGACCCCGTGAATGCGCGCGTAACTAGGGGAGGAGGAAAGTGCTCCGCCTAAGGTTGGCTGTGGGTCGCCTGCTCGGTCTGGAGTTCGGCCACGTCCACCCCTCCCCCCCGGCGTCCCAGGGCTCGGCGCCCCCTGGATGCACTCGCCCCCACCCCCAGGACTGTGCTTGCTGCTGAGCTCACACCCTCAGGCTGCGTAGCGCTCATTGTCTGCTGGGGCGGCGCGCTCCCCTCCCCCTGCTGCCCCCTGTCTCCTCCCCACCCTCTTTTTTCTCCTCCCCTTGCTCCCTCCCTCCTCCTCCTCCTCCTCCTCCTCCGAGTGTGGGCTTTGAAATCAGACAGGAGTTTCAGTGCTCTCAGATTTTGCCGTTCTCCATGCTCAGCTCCCACCCGAGGTTCGGCTGCTTTTTCTGTTCGTGTTCTGCTCTTTCCTTCCCTCTACCTCCTACCCGTCGCGGGCCCGGGCTTCGACAGCGCCCAGCTGCTCGCTGAGCGCAGTTCCGACCCACAGCCTGGCACCCTTCGGCGTGCGCTGTTTGTTTAGGGCTCGGTGAGTCCAATCAGGAGCGCAGGCTGCAGTTTTCCGGCAGAGCAGTAAGAGGCGCCTCCTCTCTCCTTTTTATTCACCAGCAGCGCCGCGCAGAACCCGGACTCGCGCTCGCCTGTCGGCGCCCTCGGCCTCTCTCCGCGCCCGGGATATAATCCTCCACTCCCGGCGGTAGCGGCTCCTAGGTTCCCGGGACACCGCGTACCCACTTCTGGTGTCTTTTCCTCTCTCTCCCCGAAGC